AATCTAGTAACATTTTAATAATCATTTTTCAAAAAGAAAAAAGAAAGAAAAAAAAAAAAGAATATCTTACCACCTCCCTAAGCTTTTTCCCTTGAAGACCTTCCTATATCTAATAAAAATAGATGTAAATCCACATAGAATCACAGAATGGCCTGGGCTGCAAAGGAGCACAGTGCTCATCCAGTTCCAACCCCTGCTGTGTGCAGGTCACCAACCAGCAGCCCAGGCTGCCCAGAGCCACATCCAGCCCGGCCTTCAATGCCTGCAGGGATGGGGCATCCACAGCCTCCTTGGGCAACCTGTTCCAGTGCATCACCACCCTCTGATGAAAAACTTCCTCCTGATGTCCCACCTAAACCTCCCCTGTCTCAGTTTAAAGCCATTCCCCTTGTCCTATCACTACCTACCCTCACAAACAGCTGTTTCCCCTCCTGTTTATACACTCTCTTCAAGCACTGGAAGGCCAAAAAAAAAAACACTGAGGTCTCCCTGCAGCCTTCACTTCTCCAAGCTAAACAAGCCCAGTTCCCTCAACCTTTCCTCATAGGAGAGCTGCTCCAGCCCTCTGATCACCTCCTCCGGACCCACTCCAAGAGCTCCATGTCCTTCCTGTACTGGGGGGGCCCAAATACCCTATGGTAAATACTGTATTGCTGCCTGTAACTGGTTGCCACTCACTACAGATGTCAGTGCAATCTCTTCTGCTCAGCCAGATTTGAACAGATTTGTGTCTGTAAAATCAGGCATATAGTGGGGCTGCAGGAACTGCTAGTGTCTCAGGTACTGCTTTTGTACCTAGAAGTTTGGAGACAGACTGATTTAAAGTTTGAAGGTTGCTTCACACAGTAAGTAGTTGTTTGTCAACTTCTCCTTAGCAACGGGTACCTAACTGCTATGGGCTGCAGGCATTTAGACTGAAGGGAGCTGAAACAACTGAATGAATTTGTACTTAATGTTTTCATCAATGCAGACTGTTTTCACGCATCAGAAATGGACAGAGTCAAAAGTAGCACAGTAACAGAGGAATGCTAGTGAGCGAATCTGAAAGCAATCCCCTGTATCTGTTTGCTCCATACACAGTGGCTTGCTTCTACCAAAGGAAAAACGCTTCCACCCAGCCAGTGGTACATAGATTGAAGTTATTACTAAAAGTCTTTTTTAATACAACGTAGCTAACAAAAATGTTGTCTGCAAGCCTTTCAAAACATGAGCTTGCTGATATGTTAACATCTATGAGGAAACAGTCAAGAACGGATCAGTCTGGGTTGTGCCTCCAGGAAGCCAGTAATTCACTGCAGTTGCAGCCTGCTGAGTACATCGTGGTATGTCTCTGAGGGGACAAAAGTACTAGCTAAAAATTGCATGAAACACACACATGTAACACATCTCTAGAACCTTGGTAATTGTGTTTTCTGCCAGAAAAAAAGAAAAAAGAAAAAAAAAAGCCAGGCACTCACTGCAGGTGTTGTGCTGTATTTGCCCTCAGAGGAAGGGTGAGAAGAACTGCCCATGCCTCTTACCTGATGCTTCTGGACAGCCTTCATATTGACTGCTGAGTCCTGTTGCGGTGACACCTCTGTTCCTGCAGCTGAGACATCGCAGGAGGAAACATCCTCAGCACCCTACTCTGCTGTCATGCCTGTGCCTCCTCACTAGGACTCCTGCGCCTGAACTGCCTAAGGAACTTCCACACAGTAGAAGAACAAATAGGTCCAAGAACTTGGGTTACAGCCTAAGCCTATCATCCTGCTCTTTTGGGCCACCGTTCTTCCACTTATAGACACTATCATTTCACTACATATTTGATACCTGGGAAGGGATTTGAAGGAGTTATTGGTCCAGGTAGGCAACGTAATTGTGGTCATAATATATGCATAGCTCTCAGATGATACAGCATTGAACTGAAAACAGGTCCAGCCACATCATCAGCCTTTGCCATACGCCTTTAGAGTCCGCAGTGATATTTCTGTGTGCTGAAACAGAACTTAGAACAGAGACACCACGTGAAAATGCAAACATACTGTATTCAGAATTATTTGCCATGCAATTAAAAACCCACATAGAATCACAGAATGGCCTGGGCTGCAAAGGACCTCAAAGATCATCCCGCTCCAACCCCTGCTGTGTGCAGGTCACCAACCAGCAGCCCAGGCTGCCCAGAGCCACATCCAGCCCGGCCTTGAATACCTGCAGGGATGGGGCATCCACAGCCTCCTTGGGCAACCTGTTCCAGTGCATCACCACCCTCTGATGAAAAACTTCCTCCTGATGTCCAACCTAAACCTCCCCTGTCTCAGTTTAAAGCCATTCCCCTTGTCCTGTCACCATCCACCCTCACACACAGCCGTTCCCCCTCCTGTTTATACGCTCTCTTCAAGCACTGGAAGGCCACACCGAGGTCTCCCTGGAGCCTGGAGCACATTCTGTACTGTAATTGAAGGTTGGAAAATCCCTGATCTGAATGACTGCTCCCCCAGGTTTTCTATGTAATTTGTAGCTCACTCTTTCAGATTACGATTTGAAAACCAATGGCCTAACTTAAGCTACTTTAATAACAGTCCTTCTGTTTTCCAGAAGCTGCTTAGTCTGTTGCCGTATTTGAGTTGTGGAGGGCCGGGGGTCCTCAGTATCCCGGAAGATCAGCCAGCTTTTCTCTTTCCTTATTTCCTTCAAAATGAGAAACAGCAGAGCACTATCAGTGATTCAGCTTTGTAACACTTGTTATCCTTTTGTTTGGGTGTAATTTTCTGTAAGACAGAGCAGCCTTACTTAAGCCTATTGCATCTAAGTGAATATCAAGAACAGGAATAGAGTTTTCTTGTAAAAACCATAACTGTAAAAAGGCAGCTACAGGTATTAAACTGATTCACCAAACGCACCAATAAGTACATCCATTACACTTTGTGTAATAATATGGGAAGTACACCCCGACCTTCTTCACATCAGTGATATTTTCTTTTGTGTGTGTGTGTTCCAATGATTGCTTTTCAGTCTCTAATGTTAAGCTGAACATTTTCTGCCACGTTTTGTGTGGCGTCACTCATGATTCTCAAAAGTAAAGCTCATGGGATAAACCAGACAGAAAATAGAAGTAAGGAAATTTCAGAAGAAAACATTGAACAAAAATGCACAGGGAAAGAGAAATACAAGTGAACAAGTCAAAAAAAAAAAAAAAAAATCCATGAGAAATGAAATATCTAAGAAGCAAAGCTCAGGAATGAAAGTGCCTAGAAAAATCAATGAGAAAAATCCAGCAAGAAGTTTTTTTGTAAGGTTGTTTTTTGTTCTTTTTTAAGTAGGAAATGTTATTCGGCCTTTAAAAAATTTAGGATTAAAAACTGGGGGTGGGGGTGGGGCTGCAGGGGGACACACAAACAGATGACACAAAAAATGGTTTAATAAATGAATTAGGTTTAATAAATTAATTAAATTTAATAAATTGATTAGAATGAATTAGAATTAAATGAAATGAATCAGAATTCATCTATTTCAACTTGCAAACAGAAGTTTGTATGCTACTTGTAATGGCATGTATAAACCTAACTTCTGCTAAAAGCAAGAAAAATGTTTAGGAAATCTCACTGCATATATATCTTCAACTGCAGACATGCAAAAATACAGGCAATTGAAGTCTTTCAGGGCACCTATTCCCACTTCCAAAATATAATGATTCTCTACGGAGGTACTGTGAAGAGAACTGATTTCAGTTCCACAAGACTACTGCTGAATTGTTCTTAGTTTCTTGTGAGAGTGTTATGAAATAACATATCCAGCTAGAAGTAACTGGCTACTTGTTTTTCTTGCTGCTAGTCTATTTTGATGCATTGCTTGCTTTATTCCGAGTAGAAGACTGCTATCTGTAGAAAACATTTTTGTAAATACTTTTGCTGCTTTGTTCTTCATAGCAAACGAGGCTAGGCATGCTAGCGACACCGTGCATTCCGTTTCTGTGTTTGATTTCTTCATATAACCTAAACAGGGGTTAAAGTCTTCTCAATTTCTTATGAACTGCTTTAAAAACTTGCTTCATAAAGTTTGCGTTCTCCATTAGTGGCTCAGAAGAGAAAGACAACTAAACACAATGAGCGCACCTCATGTACTTTGATGAGCACACACACCTGCTTCTGTAAAGTGACAGGAGAATAACCTCACCTTACAAAGATTCTCTGCTTCTATTCAAAGGATCAAATTTTAACACCCGAAGATATAACTACTTAGATAAAGCACTTTCACTGATGAACACCGAGAGCACACAAGGAAACTCACATTTGCTCAGCACCACTGGAGTTCAACCCACCCATGCATCAGCTGCACAGAAATGAAGCAATAAGCCTAACTCAGTTTTGGAAAGCTGTGGTACGCAGTTTCCAGTTTAAAAGCAGGACATTTCAAAAACCTAAACTAAGTTAAACCAAAGCAGAAGCTATGCTTGTTAGGATCCTGTTACTGGAAGATTTATTAAGAAAACCTTTCTTTCCCTCTCCCCAACAAATTCCTTATCTTTGGAAGCAGAGAATCAATTTGTTCTTGGTGCCACTGAACACCAATGGAATGACATCAGTAATTAACAAACACTTCAATGACAAGAAAAAATTCCACCTTGTAAGGCAGCAGCCTCAGCACTCCCCCACACCAAGTGTGCATACACACTGATGCTCACGTGGATGATGCCACCTAGTGCAGTCAGAGTTAAGCACAGCTGCTTTGGTCCTCCTACTTACCAGCTGTTTTCAAGGGCAGAAATGTCACAAACGACAAACAAAACCAAAAACTATCCCGTGTCCTCAAAGCAGATCATACAAGCTCTCTTACCTGTCAGGCCAGCTTCCTTATATAAAGTAGTTGGGCACTAGCATATTATCCAGTTTATTTGCATGATTTGTGAAAATTACATTCCCAGCTCAGAGGAAACATAAAAGGAGGCATTAAAAACACCTTACAATTAAGAAGAAGAAATGATGTTAAGATGGAAAAGTTGCAGTAATCATAGAATTGCAGGAGTTGGGAGGGAGATCATGGAGCACAACCTCCTTGCTAAAGCATGCTCCCTACAACAGGTCACAGAGGTGGCTGTCCAGGGGGGTCTTGACAATCTCCCAGGAAGGAGACTCCGTAAGCTGTCTGGGCAGTCTGTTCCAGTGCTCCATCACTCTAACAGGAAATAAGTTCTTCATTGCATTAGCATGGAACTTCCTGTCTTCCAGTTTCTGCCCATTTCCCCTTGTTCTACTGTTGCTCACCACCAAAAAGAGTCTCATCAACTTGACTCCCACACTTTTATAAGCAGTTACGTGATTCCCTCTCAGCTGTCTCTTCTTCAGACTGAGGAGTTCCAGGTCTCAGCCCTTCCTCATAAGGGAGATGCTTCAGGCCCTTAATAATCTTTGTTACCCTCCACAGGACTCATTCTAGGAGATTCCTTGTCTTTTTTGAACCGGGGAGCCCCGAACTAGAGTCAGTATTCCAGATGTGGGCTCAGCAGGGCAGAGGAGCATGGGAAGATCACCTTCCTCAACTTGTTGGCCACGTTCTTTTTAAGGTATCCCAGGACAGCCTTCTTGTCCACAAAGGCACACTGCTGGCCCACAGACAACTTGTTGCCAATCAGAACAGCCAGGTCCTTCTCTGCAAAGATTTCTTCAGCAGGTCTTTGGATCGATACATGCAGTCACTCCTCCCCAGGTGCAAGGCTCTTCTCTTGCTCTTGTTGAGAATGGTATCCACCATTCTCTCCCATCTACTCAGCCAGTGATGACATCACAGAAAGCTACAGGTTGGTCAAGCATGACTTCCCCTTGCTGAATCCATGTTGACTTCTACTGATAACAATCTTCTCTTCCTTGCTTGGAGAGGGAGTTTTCTTCCATTCCTCAGGTGGTCTTCCAATACGAAGTGGCATATTCACGGTGTTTTAAATAAAATATTAAGTTTTTCACATTTATGATGAAAAGCAGTAGTATCTGGCATCTTGAGCAAGTGTGTTTGTACTAGACATTTGGCTAGAGTATATGGAGGGCTTGTTTGGATTGTCTGGAGGGATGCATCAGCTACCGCCAGGAGCTTACCAACTGTATTTATAGTAAATATTGGATATAATCAAAGCAGCTCACCTGGAAAACTACATTGTATTTAGCATTTTATTCACTTGTGTTCTAATGTGTCATAAACCTTCCAGTTCAGTGAATTCCTTACACACAGGCATTCACCTACTTTATTTCAAATGCTTTCTTGAACATAGAGAGGTCTAGAAAAGCTAAGCAAGTCCAAAATAGCGTCTAGGCCATCTTAGTCAAAATGGGTCCCGTTTTATGTCATCTTACACAGCATGGAAAGAAGGAATAATCAACATCATAGTGCCAATACATAGATAAGAAATGTTTTCAGCCTACAGCTTCACAGGATGTGAATTATCCATTCACAGTAAAGGTGCACAGTGCAGCTGCATTATCCGCCAACCTCAATGTCACCAGAATTACTTCCAGATGTTTTTATATGCTGTTCTTTGGGGATTAGTTGCCTAGGGACCGACTTGCACTATTTAATGTTATTTTCCTCCCTGGCAAAGCACTGTCCTCAAAGATAGCCTTAAATGGTGCAGAAGTGGGGCAAGTTTTTGATACTCTAATTTAACAAAATTGCCATGATCCTAAACAAAAGTAATCCTTCCCAAACTTGAGTCAAAGGATCAAAGTTCACACTATTTTATTTTTCCAGATGAAAAAATAAACCCAGCAGGAACTGAGAATTCATGTGCATGGAGCTGAGGGGCACACACAGTACAGCACTTCGCTTTTGATATGACTCCTGGACTTGAACAATTCGTGTTAGCTCCAGACGTAAGTCTTCCCATGTCATGTAACTGCAGTTCATACAGATAGATGTATAAATGCTAAGTATACACGGTGCCCAGAAAAACTTGTGGTATTTGAAATGTGGAAATCAGAGTAAAATAAACAGATTCTCAGTTTCTGCAGGTACTTTTGTTTACTTGTAAAAGGGGGCAGTTGTGGTTTGGCAACGACTTTAAGGCATTGTTTCCTGTAATTATCATCCAGAGTAGTTACAGTGGATTTTGTTTTGTTTTTTTTTCCACACATTAATATTGTCATTATTCATATTACTCATTCTTTTATTTAGTGAAGAGACAAAATATCCATCAAACTAGGTGAACTTTCAAAAGTATGTGGGAGACCTACCATATATTACTGAACAATAAAAGCAAATTGTAATCGCAAATAACTAAAAGCATAAGTCTCAAGTGACACAATGTTCTCGGTTTATTTTAACATCAGTAATTTTAATCCCTTCATAATTTACTTGCAAATTAGCTTTCTTTTCAAGAAAAAGAAAAGTACATCTTCCACTGGTATCTGGGTTGGAAAAAAGCTTGTACTTGACTGTGAAAAAAATACACCAGAATTACAGTAAAAATGATTGCTTGCTCAACTCAGTGTAAGCCAGTTATTCATGATGGTGTGAAGGTGGTTTTGATTAATCAACAAAATGTGTCTTCTGCCTGTAAAAATTCATTAGGTTTTCTCAGTATTCTGAAATAGAAACATTAAAGCATTCTGGCTCATTATGAAAATTACTGAAACTCATCTGACTCATCTAGACAGAAATCACATGAAATACGTACTTGGATATTTGCTAACTCTTCTTCATAGTAACTCAAGGTCTTAGTTGTGCTAGACCTTAAGAATCTAGAGACCAAGTATCATATTTTTAACTATTGGGTTCCAGCTGTAATATTTCTAAACGCTTCCTGGTTTCTGTTGATGCCAAAGAACCACTTCTGTTACAATACTGTTTATGCTCTGTTCTGCTCACAAAGAGACAAAATTGCTTCTGAGAGGTTCTTAGTTACACCAGAACTTACAGTTAGGCCAATAGTCATACACAGGAAGAAAAGATGAACACACCCAGCTGGTGAAGGGCGTTTCTGGCCATGCAGCACTCCTTCTCAGGAGCCAGCCTACGTCCCCTGTCCAGGTGCTCAATCCCCAGTTCAAGTTGTGACCTAACAGTTCCCCACATACACCAGTTCAGATCATTCACTGTTCAGACCATCACTCAAGTACTGATTTCCCAGGTTCCTGAACAGTTAAAGAATTAACAGAAGCTGTGATCACTGACCTAAAAATGTTTGCCAGCCTCTGGAGGAAAAAAAAAAAAAAACACAAACCTAAGATGCCAAAAGGATTGATGTTCTTACCAACGTATATCTGATATCATGATGCTCTTTTCTGATAGTCCCTCAAGTAGCCACCAGTGCTCTAGCAAACCTATTCCCATTTCTGCCTACAGACTGAAATATCATAGTGATCAGCTATCTACCTGCAGCTCCCAGGTGGAGAGATAGCAAGATTATGAGATTTAGAATCAAACATCTGTCTTCAGCAGCAAGAATTAGAAATCCTCTGGCAGTCCACTTACTGTTGTGGTCAGGGCATTCATTACAACGCTGAAATTCAATTTGTTGCAGACTTACAATACAATAGTTCAGGTGAAAAGCACTTGGTAGAGAAAAGCAAAATCAGAAGTTTGGAGCACAAGTACAATCCTGTGCTTTTCTTGGTGACACAGACAGCAAGAGGGCTCGCCAATGTTAACACTGGCCTGCAGCTACCTGTGAACGAAAGAGCAGTAGACTAACTAAATTACCTTATTGGTGCAGCTGTTCTTAAGACTGCTTTCTTATTCAATCTGTGAATACGGCGCTACCTACCTTCCATATGCAGAGGTTTGTCTCTGTGAAAAACAATGTGACTTCTGCAAAATCAAAAGGCAAATGGTGACAACGCAGGAAGAGGTAGAATCTTCCAGGTACCTCTGAGTTTGGAAGGACAGATGGTGTCCTATTTCAATTAGCTTATTCAAACATTCGTTGATAGATAGTGGCACTGATTTATGAGCAATGATGATAATCCTGATGCTCAAACTTTCCACTTGTATGGGAACTGTTGAGACACAGCCTGAATTGAGCACCTGGGGAAAGGACTGGGCCAGCCGTGGGAGCACAGGGAAAGGCAATTCAGCTGTGTGACAGGAAGGGGTGGAGCCTGGCTCCACCTCTCTTACACCCCACTGGGGAAGATATCTCTTTAGACATCTCTCCTTGGCGAAGCTTTCCTCGGTGGATGTGAAATCTTCTGATACAGGTAAGTAATCCCTTTCCTTTATAGCATCTTTCTATTGTGCTGATCCTCTTGTCATTGCACCTCTGATGAAATGCCTTTTCCCATCATACTGGTCTGTCCAATCGCTACACCGCTCAGCAGAAAAGCTGCAAAATCTATCACTTCTTCCCACTATATTTAAATACTGTAGTCCACCATTCATCCCTTCCTTTCAGGTCAAATGATATGCCTAATGTCAAACAGCGTGAAGGCCTAGGAGGGGAAGGGGGACAAAAAAAGGGAAGAAAAGAAGGATATAGTCTTTTTGGCCAGAAAAAGAAAACACTGATAATGTACATCTGTTGTGATATGCAATAGCCTATAAAATTATCCACAAACAACTTTCTCCTGCAAAAGAAAATGACTGTTAAGTATCTCATAAAAAAAGAGGTTATCAAAACATTTTTCCTTTAAATTGTTAATGTTAGATTCGAATACAAAGCTCTCATAGTATCGGGAGGTAATAAGACTTCTGAGAAAGCTGTTTGTTTAGATAAGGGGTGAAACTTTGTGTCTTTACCTTGGGAACAAAGAATACTTTCCATAGATTTCTGATGGCATTTTTTTAAGAACAAAAAGAGTAGGAGCATATGTTAAGCCACTTCCTGGAGGTAAAAACATATAATCACCATAATACAGTTCACAAGAATGCGTGAGATAACGGAGAAACTGTTCTGGTACAAACTCTTGATACACAAGACTGCTGAAGGTTGCTCTGAACAGACTCCAGATATCTGGAAATTGTAACTCCTGTCAGGGCTTGAGGATGCACAAAGGAGTACCAAGCATTCTGGTTATGAAGAAAGATGGGAAAAATATGCATTAAAGCATCCTTATCCACTATGTACACAACAAGTATCCAGACAACTTTGCAACTTTACCAGGTTACCAGATGAATTCCAAAAACGTCACTCTGACTTGTAGCAAGAAAAATCATTACATAGGCAAGTGCCAGACTCATATCGAACTCCTTCGAAGTTTGACCGATCCGATGATCCAATATCACTTAGCTATATTCCATTTCTGAGTAGCCCTGGGTTCAAATATTCTCAAAGAATGACAGTGAGGAAGTGTGCTGCACTCACAGGACTGGTTGGAACTGAGTGCTGAGCAGACTTCCAGACATAAATATATCCTTCCTGGTGATAAGACCAGATGGATAATTCAGAACCTTCCATGTTGCTTTTCACAGTGCAGGAAAAAAAAAACTTGCTTTTGGACAATGAGAATCTCTTACCTTTAGGTCTGAATATTTGAGTCACACCACTGACAGTGTCAGAGTCAGATGTGATTAAGCTCCACCCTGGGACTCAGGGAATATCTTTCTTTAGAGAAATTAAGTATAACATGCTTCTCTCAAATCTGATTAAAAATTATAGGTTTGAAAGCAGTCACTAGCAGGCCTATCTCCACAGCACGGAATGTGGTAACTATATGTATGTGGCACAGTACTGAGGAAAACCAAACCACCACCTCCCACTGACTATTCGGAAATTGATCAAACTTTTTTTTGCATGTGTGCTGGGACATTTATCAGGTTAGTGTACATGGTTGTAGTCTTTTTCCTTCTATAAACTCCAGTTACGTCACAAAATCACGGACACAGCAGTGTTTGTGCCACCACCTTAGTGCAAAATCACCAGTGATTTTTTCAGCAAAACCTCTCCCTTCATCTACTTTGCATATCCTCTCAATAACTTATTTTTGCATCTCTATTACTCTATTGCTGCAATCAAATCATAATAACATAGTGCTCGTGGCATCTGAAGGATTTTCTTGGCAGAAAGTAATTTGTAGGATTTCTTCGTTGCTTTCACTGATCCTTTGTATGCTTCAAAACTGGAAGCACTGGACTAAGTAACAGAGAGGAAAATAATAGTAATTAATGCTTGCACAACTTCAAGAAAAGTCAGATGTGCATATATAAATTCATTAAAAGCATTGAGGACTGAAGACTTTCAGTAGTTCCAGTTATGTTTTTATAATGTGTATAAAAAATCACCGATAATTCATCAAATAAACATACTGGTTAGTGGCAAACTTTGACCACTGCTAAGATGGCTTTGAGGGAGATTTTCAAACTCGTGTCCCCTTTTGTGAGCATGCTGAGCATGGCCAAAGAAATTAAAAATACTAAGTACCTTCTCGCTGGTTCAAAAGTGTGAATATGTTTGGGAATCTCTGTAGCATAACTTTACACTAATTATTATGAAAGAAGCATGTTCAGCAGCAGCCTCTCTTCTATTAGCTACTCTTTCATCATACATTCCTGTGAACTCTAGTACAGTCTCGATGGGTAGTAGAACACTGCAACAAGTGAGAAATTTGTGGAAATTAAAAGCAGATCCTTCTCAGCAGTTTCGTAAACTCATTCTGGAGATGATTTCTCCCATGAAGTTTGTCCTTGATATTTTGGCTGCTGCTGCTTCTGAAGGAAATGTCTCCTCTTTCATGTCACACGCGTAAATTCCACTGGACAATTTAAAGTACAGTAAACATTCTGCTATGGGGGGGGGGGAGAAGTGATATTTACTTTAGTATTCATTTCCTTTTTCCTTTCTGTGACCACTTACCCTGAAACTGGATTTTTTTCAGTATGTGTATGAATGAATCATGCTACACACAATGTCTGCATCTTACAGTGTGGATTTTTTTACTTTTATTTTTTGGCCTATCTCTTCAGAGTGCCAAACAAACTACCAGCATCACAATTAAAAGCAGAGGACTGTGCCTTGCCTCCTTAAAGTAACAACAAATTAACGCAAACAAACATCAACATGCATAATTCTCAGATCTCAAAAACCACAATCTAGTGCAGAACCTGCCTTCCTCCCACACTTTTTGCCCACTTCTTTTCCAGTTGCCTTGTTTATCTGTGGCCCTACTCTCCACTGGGTAAAAAACTGATTGGATGGCTGGGCTCAGAGAGTGGTGATGAACAGAGTTAATCCCAGCTGGTGACCAAGCATGTGCGATGTTCCTCAGGGATCAGTACTGGGGCCTATTTACTATCTTCAGTGATGATCTGCACAAAGGGAGGGAGAGCATCGTCAGTAAGTATGCAGATGACACCAAGCTGGGAGGAGCGTGGATGTGCTTAAGGGTAGGAAGGCCCTTCAGAGGGATACGGACAGGCTGGATCAATGGACTGAGGCCAACTTTTTTGTGTCAGCTTTAACAGACCAAGTGCTGAGTCCTGCATTTTGGTTACAACAACCCCATGCATTCCTACAGGTTTGGGGCAGAGTGGTAAGCTGGAAAGCTGCACAGAGAAAAAGAATCTGGAGGTGTTAGTTGATAGCCAGCTGAACATGAGTCAGCAGTGTGCCAGGTAGGTGAATGGCATCCTGGCTTGTAACAGAAATAGTGTAACAGGACTAGAGACTATATCCCTCTGTACTCAGCACTGGCAAGGATGCAATTCAAGCACTATGTTCAGATTTGAGCCCCTTGCTATAAGAGAGACATTGAGTCCCAGGAAGAGTAACAAAGCTGGTGAAGGGTCTGGAACACAAGTTGTATGAGGAGCAGCTGAGGGAACAGGAATTGTTTAGTCTGGATAAGAGAAGGCTCAGGAGAGACCTTATAGCTCTCTACTCCTACCTGAGAATGAGGTTGTAGCCATGTGAGGGTTAGCCTTTTTTCCCAGGTGATAGGAAAATATGTAATGACTTCAAGTTGTGCTGGGGGAGATTTAGGTTGGATATTAGGAAAAACATCTCGGGAAGAGTGAGGTGTTAGGACAGGCTGCCCAGGAAGGTGGTGGAGTTCCTCTATAAATGCAACTATTTGAAAATGCATGACTAAAACTTACTTTCTAAGACTGAAAAATAAGTCATTATCTTTTATTAGTCCATTGGATTTGGTTCCATCTCCCCCAGACTATTTTGGTTGCTCTCACCCGTCGTCATCTTTACTGTACCGTGCAGAGCTGGCCACAGCGATGCAACACAGGGGATAACTAACACTGACTCTGCTCTAGTGCAGTCCATACTGGCAAACTGCAAACTTAGTCATGCCTAAGAATGATATTTGCAAAGTATGCCTGCATTGGACAAAATAAAGCACTGTGATGCCATCTGACTGATGCGTCCCTGCTCTATATTACACTAGTTTCTCAGACTGTGCTTCTCAAGTTCAACCAGAGCTGTTTCATTAGAAGAGCTATATCAGTGGTTTTGCTTGTGTCCGCTTCAGCAGGCTGTGCTGAAGACATTATTAGAGGGAAATATATTTGCAGGCACTTAAGTGACTAAGGGCTTTGAGTTTAAGCTTTAAGAAGGCTGGTTTTTGAAAATCATGTAAAGCTGATGGAGCCAGCTGAACATTTTGGAGAGCAAAGAAATCTTTTGTTTCTCTTTGTTGCTTTCCCATTTCTCTCCTCATAAGTAACATTACATTTTCTGGGCAGAATTCTTCATACAAAGAACAAAACTTTTTTATGATTGTGGAAATTGCTTTAAGTATCTTCAGGTATAAATCAGACCAGCATCTGACTTCATTTTGGCAGGGAAAGTCTGCATAGTTTGGGAGGATACGGTGCAGAGAGCCTTGACTAAGCAAAATACAGAGAATCCATTAATCCCACTCTCCTCCTTTGCAGCACAGTTCCATGAGTATTTATTCCTGAGGACTGCGGAATTGTAAGGCAGGACAGAGTCCAAAACATTACTTTTCCAAAACCTTAATTGTAATTACCTAGCTTAATTTTGGTCTGATTTTGCATAATCCATTCCATGCTGTTAAAAATTAACTGCCCCTCTTGCAATCCACATGACGATGCGAAAGCTAGCAGTTGGCATTTTATCATCTTGCATTAAAGCTACATAATTTGTTCATAGACCACAAACACAATTATTTAGTTCATGATCCATTTTTCTATCAGTCAGGCCTTCAAAAGCAAGTCTCCCAGCTTGCTTGCAAACCGAATGATTAAACTTTTCTTCTGAAGAATTTCTACCCTATTCTCTTCCCAATGCTGTTATCTGAGAGTTTTTTTTTGTAATTCACAATTACATTAAGATTTCTAATTACTTTTAGGTCATTATGACAATGTCTGTCATTTCTCAACTCAGCGTTTACTTGAAGCTAACAACTCTTGCTGCCATTCGGAGGAGAGCCATGTAGTTTAGTAACGCCAGGTGGGGATCTTCTTTAGCACTCACTGGAACTTTGAGACTGGATGGTGTGTAATTCAGTGGCTTGGGACAAGCTAAGAATTCGTACCTAATAATTACAAAAGCATCCGCGATTTCATAGTGGACGGACATAAATCTCAGCGTTTTAGATCGGAAGAGAGCACGCCCGACGTCTCTGGAAGCGGGGTAACGCTGGGGATCCGGCACGGTGACCCCCGGGCAGCAGGACACGAGACCCAGCGCCGCCGGCCGCCGCACCACCTCCGCCACTTCCGGCGGCGCGCACCTGCCCTTGTCATTTCCGCCGGGACAGCCGGCGCAGGGAAGCTGGCGGATCCGAGCGCAGCCGAAGGGCAAACCCCTCCCCGCCGCGGCTGCCGGTGGTTTTTAGTTCCGGCCGCGAGGCTCGCGCTACGCCGATCTCTTCCGGTGGCTCGGGCGGGGAGAGGTTCTGCCGCGCCGTCTTTGCCGGCCTCTCGCCCGCCTTCAGGGCCGACCCACGGCTCGGGTCTCCTCCGCGCCGCGGGCCGGGCCGCGTTGGGCCGCGCTGGGGGGCGGCGCCTTGGCGCTCTCTGAGCCGTGCCGAGGGGAGGCGGCGGCGGATCTGGGCTCGGCGGAGGCGGAAGGGGCGGGCGGACGCGGCCTGACTCTGCGGGACGTGCGGTGCTGGTGAGTGCAGGAGGCCGCGGTGCCGTGTCGCAGCTGAGCTGGGTCGGGCGGGGAGGCCCGGCTGGGCCGAGGCGACGAGGGCTTAACGGAGCGCGGCTCGGCCCTGAAGAGCGCGGCGAGGAGCGGGAGCGACTGAGCCTGGCCGACCCACCCGCTTTTCTTCTCCCGGGCGTACGCCGCGTTCCGGAGGCGGCGGCGGGAGCCGTTGTGCGACGGGATCGGAGCTCTGGCCTCGAACCTCCGGCCTCTAACCTCCGGGCTCTCGCCGCGCGCTAGAATTACATCGCCCCTCTGGGCCGCAGGAGCCCCCGCTGCCGGCAGCCCTGCCCTCGCAGGTCCGCCTGTTGTGCCCTCTCCCGTCCCGAGGCCGGCCCAGCCTCCCTCCCTCCCGCCGCCCAGCCCTTCCCTTGCCGGCACGTGGCCTGGACCCGGTCGTTGCTCCAGCTTTACGTCTCTCTCAGATACTGGCCCTTCTTCTCGGAGCCCCGCACCTCCCCTGCCCTCCCGTCGGCCCAAGGACTGCGCGCCCAGGCCATGTTCGTCCTAGGCCTCTTCTATTCTATCCTGAGGCTCCTGGAGCTTTTCCCGTAGCCTGTCTCGTCGCCAGTGTTAGTTTGCCTGTCTTCGCTTCTCCTTTACCTGCTCCGTGTGGCTTTCACCCTGTTGTCTCCATCGCAAAGCTCTAGTGGCTCTCAGGTTTGAATGGGACCTACGTGGTTGTAGCTAAATTTCTGTGTGTCTCCCAACCCCATACCATCGTCTCTTAAAGTATTTATTTCTGTTTTTCTCATCTTCCCCAGCTTTCTCTCTATCAAAAAGTGTGCTGTGACTCAGGCTTTCCCTTGCAGCTCCCTTCTGCCATGTTCCCAGGGAGAGGTTCCCCCTCAGGTAACCTCTTACCTGATTGTTTGTGCACTGCCTCCATTCAGAGATGGCTAGTCCTGCATTTTTTTTTTGTCACTGCAGCTAATCACCTTCTTTGTCTTCTGGTAACTTTGCTGCTGAAAGCTGTGTCCTTACTGGGATTCTTTCTCAGTCCTTCTTGTTTCCTTTTCAAGCTATATTTCTTAATCGCCATCATTCCCTTATGACGTTTCCTGTTTTAGCTTTCTTCATCCCAGTAACTATTTCCTTTACCGTGTTGGTTGTTTTTTTGTTTGTTTGTTTTTGTTTCTTGCCCTTCTGATTTTACTTTCTTGTCTTAAAAATCTTCTTTGTTATCTCACCTCTTTTCCCTTGACATATTCCTTTCCTCTGTAGGCTCACCTGCTGTCTCCTGCTGTGTTCAAGTTCTCCAGCTGTGCCTTTGACAAGAAAGGAATGTGAGCTTAGTTTATCTTTAAGCATTAGGAGGTTACAGATTATTTACTTGTTTCGCCTTATTTTGTTTTCATTTGTTTGTTACTGACTTCCTTAATAACCTTTTGTCAATAAATGCTTTCATATATGATCAATTTAATATATGCTTAACCCGTTGCTAGTCTAGGAAAAGAAATTCCAGCTCAGACCATCCTCTTAGTCCTGCCAAAAGGTTTTCGTGGGGAGCAGGAATACCTAGTGGCTGTGTGACTTAAATTACGCTGAACACTCATAATGCTGTATTGTTGTAATACTTCAAGTTGGTACTTAGAAGATACAGAGTGGGTTTAGGATGCATTAGCTTTGAGGAAGTAGTAAGAAACTTCTTTGGTGCATGGTGTTTACTCCAGATATGCAGATCGCAGAGCTGCTGCAGTTCTGTCATTTGGTGGTTAGGAGTGTGTTGCGCTGGCACTTGGTGTCTGCGGGTGACTGCTGTAGTCTTTTCCCTCTGCTTTGTGGCTTCTCTTGTTTCTCAGGAGTTGCTGCCAAATCTCTTGCGTCTGTCTTACTTTGGTTCTTAAGATTATGAGACGTAACTGATCTTACTGTGATGTATTTGAGTATGATTTAAACACTAAATATGGCTGTCCTGTGGCAGTGTGGGGAATACATTGAATCTGGAGAGTAATTTCTGCACTGAACTTCAGAATCCGAGTTTGGTGTCTAATTTTGACAACTTGGTCTTTCTCAACTAAGCGACAACTCCTCAGTGCAACAGAACAGGGCTTCTGAGCGGACGTACTCCTCTGGAGGAAACCTTTTCATTTGTCTGTTCTATACTGAGAATAGTTTACAGTTTGGGCACCTGAATTGGGCATACACGTTTCACTGCTGGACTGACAAAATGATTGTGCTGGCTTAACTAAATTATCCTCCTTTCACTATAGTCCTTTTTCCACTGCATGAGAATATTTCATTGCATTTCTATAAAGCATTGAAATTAATTTAAGCTATGTTGATGCATTCGGGTACTGATCTGAGGTGGCTTTTTTGAATTTGACTTATTCTCCATCGTGGTGTAATGTAGGGTATTCTAGCTGTACTGTTAGGGAGATAATAGCGGGTACTTTGAAAAAGTTATCTCAAGAATTCTGCTTAAAAAAGTGTTTTCTTACAGTTTGTACGTTAAGATCTGTGAGTAATGTTAACTTCCTCAAGCAGTGTATGGTTCTACGTAGTTACACGTATCTCAGTAGGGCCCAATTTAATGATGAGCCGCATACCGGGAGCCAGTCGTTATGTAAGTTGGTTATACGTGAAGTTTCTCTGGCATTCAAACTTAATATTTTTTACAAATTTTCCTAGTGGTTAAAGTATTTTCAAAGATGTTTCACTTACACTTGTTTTAACGTCACAAATGTGCGTTACTGCTGTGAAGATTTGGAACTGTCAGTATAGGATAGATGAGTGCTGATGCACATTGTGCTATATTGTGCTTTTTAACCAGCATTTTCCAATTTGCTGAGGGCAGGAGTGGGTTAGGTAAGGTAGCTGGGTGGTGGTTCTGCCTTTGTACTCACTGTGCCGCCTTAACTTGGTGTGTGTGAGGAAGCAAGCAAGTTACACCCTGTATAGGGTGTAAACTTAAATCTTTATTATTGGTGCTGACACCGTTGAGTCCCCCTTGCTCGTTAAAGTGGGATTTTCCTTAAGGAAAAGACAAACGTAAGAAAATTCAGTGCGTGGAAAGCTCCAGAGAATCATTGAGCTTGTATATTTTTTTCTGTTTTTTGTATGTATATATATTTTTAAAGTAAGTATTTGTTGTGAAAAATGGAGGTTTTTCAATGGAGGAACTACCACAGATTGGCTACTGATTGCTTTACAGCACAGTTGGGACCTCTTACAGACTGAATTAAGTAATGAAGTAGCAAATTTGCCCAGCTCTGATACGCAGTTATGTAGTGCTGTAACTTAGAACCTTACTGTAGTGTAACTGAGGCATTGGAACGTAGTTAGATTTCAGAACTTTTTGCATTGTGAGTAATTAGCTGTATGAGGTTCACCCTGCTTTTCTCTGTAATTTAAGCTTAATTCCATATGTAAGTTTTTCATTTCATCCAGTGTCACAGCATTGTAGACTTTGGAATTTTGTCTAAAAATAAAAAATCTGGGAAGTTTGTCTAAGGTTTGGAGGACTTAATTGGGGAGGACAGAGGTGGAGGGGCGAAGAGGGATTATAGAAAACTGTTTTTGTTGGGTGCTTTTCTTTCTGTCTTGCTTTTCGTGATAGTAATACCATGAGCAAATGTTATGAGGAGTCAAGGGAGAAACTTCATATACAATTGAAGATGCTTATTGAAAAATTGCATTTTCTTAAGAAAGCAGACTGTTCTTTTACTATCTAGGCTTTCAGAGATAACAGAATTTTGATAATAAACGTGGGTGTGCCATCACTAGTAGGAGAAGTGAAACGCAAAGACAAACATGCTTAAGTAAATTGATTAAAATGGATTTTGTTAGGTGCAGGCTTAGCTTTAAGACCTAATGGTGTGGGATAATAAGGGCTTAGGTGTGGCTGTTAGAGATGTGCATCAGTTTCAACTTCGCTTAAGATGTTAAGATGTTTCACTTTTGTACCAGTCTTGCCACTTGCAGCTATTGGAGATTAAAAGTGATTAAAAACTAGCTGAAATTTAGCTGAAATGATACAAATCTCTTTTTGTGCAGTATAAATTCCTTGCTGTAAGATTGTGCTTTCACAGTTTAGACATCTTAGTTGGACCAGAAAAAATCTCACGTGAATCCTGATTTAGACTTCAATGAGGCTGCTCTCTTACGAAAGTACCAAGATGGAAGATGCTGTGAAATTAGTATGCTGCTGGGAGGAGATTCTAGTCAGGGCTGACTGACGCTTGTAAACATCAGTACTGTTTAGAGATAGGAATCACTAGTCTCCAAGAGCAGTGTAGAAAGTTTCAGTGGAAACGTTACTACAAGTGAAAATTGCTTTTTATGTTTAACAGGTCAGTATGAATTTGTGTGTGTTGGTGCACTGAATGGTGCTGTGATGCAAAGTGATTTGTGCTGACACTTAGAGAATTGAATGTTCAAACACAGCCAGCAGGAGCAGGGAGGAGATTGTCTTCCTGTGTGCAGCTCTGGTGAGGCCACATCTTGTGTTCTGGGTTCATTTTTGGGCTCCTCACTACAAGAAAGACATTGAGGCCCTGGAGTATGCTCAGAGAAGGGCAGCAAAGCTGGTCAAGGGTCTGGAACATAAGCCTTATGAGGGAGGAGCTGAAGGAACTGGGATTGTCTAGTCTGGAGAAAAAGAGGCTCG